ATGAACGTGTCACCACCAGTACACAGATCTGTTGTGTAGTAATGTATGGGTGCTTGCATGCTTGCTGGTTGTTACAAATATGATGTAACTAACGTGAACCAAGTTAGAAATAAATTACGACCGTACTTATATTTTTATTATGGTAATATGGTGGCATAAATGTAAATTGCCATAAAAAACAAACTTTTCGAATGATAAAGATTTATGTCGGATTTACAGCTACCAGATAGCAACTCGGCAAATACTGAGGGTAAAGGTTTTATTTGAAATCTATGAAGTGGAACAATGAAGGGGAGATTGAATGTTTTATACTAAATCATTATGCTAACATTTGCCATTTAGATTAAACAGGATTTTCATACTGTGGCAAGACATATGAAAAAAGAAAAAAAAACATCTATTTAGATTGACGGTGTTCGGCGCTGGCTACACCAAGTTAGAAGAGGAGTTTTACACTGTTAAGGGCCTTTACTCAGCATGTCAGATTACACAGTTCTTTTTTATATAAAACCTTCAGCAGTGTGATTTTCAACATTATGGGTCGTTGCTTGAAGGAGCTGCATTAGGCGCTAAACAGGAAACGATATTTAAGATGCAACGAAGTTGCTTATGTTCATGCAGGTACTTTGAAGGCGTCTTCAGACTTAAACCTCTACCGGTTTGGGTCTGAAACGCGCCACTGGACGATCATTTTAAGGAAGAAATAACGGATGGGTTTGAGGTGCATTGTGCTTCCTTAAGTAGACCGTCGACTGCAGAGGTACATGTACAATGTATACCACACAGGTCTGTAGCCAGCAATTTCAAAAGGGGGGTTCTTTTTCTGAAAAAGTGGACCTTTTCCCATAAAAACTTCGTATACCTGGATCAAATTTTACCCAGAGTGGACCTTTTCCCAGCAAAAGGGGCGGTTCTTTCGAACCCCCCGAACCCCCCTGGCTACGGGCCTGCCACACGACATCAGACACTGAAATTGAAAAAGGACGTGTTTTAAACCAGAACTGGTCCCAGTAGAATGTCCAGCATTCCTTCGGATGTAGGCATAGTTATCTGATTTTTGTACTAGTGAAGTGAAAAGAAGGAAATGATTTTCTCTCTGGCTGGCTGTCTTTACTCCAGTTGATCTATTTCTGGCAGTTGACACATTTGTCTGTGCGCATCTTGGTCGTTTTATGGTATAAGAGCCTTTTCAAGATGTCTGTAAATATCAAAATTTTATTAAGAAACTGTCCGGTTCAAGGCGAGGCCCTAGGTGCTTGTTTTCTCGTTGATTTTCTCCTCCAAAACATGACAGATTTATTGAATGTCAGTCATCTTTTTGTTTGACATAGAGAGATACATGTAATTGTAGAATACACCCACCTTTTTTTTTGAGGCTCTAAAAAGCGACACGCGTACGGTGCAAATTGCAGTTTTTATTATCAACTTTTGAGTAGTGATATAGGTGTCGCTACTGGTCATTTTTACTTGGCAAATGAAGATCTATTGGGTTTAAGTGCATGCCAGCGATTAGGAAGACAACTTTGCAATTAACGGATAGATTTGTCGATCTTTGAATAATAGCGTTAAGCAATCTATCAGCGTCCCACGTGCCCATGCAGTGGCACTGATTTCTCTTCATTTGTTGTCAGACTTGGATGCTAAAGTGGACAACTTTCTTATTTTTTCATCTGTGCAGCTACATATACAAGTGATGCGAATTATAGTTGTCATTCTCTGATTATACATTATCTAAATCTTGTGGTTTAAAAGACTAATACTCATCAGGTGTAGTCTATCGTGTTTTTTTCATGCCTTTCTTTGTCGGCCATCATATCTCTCCTAGAAGACAACAATTGGGCTCGCTTAGATCATTATGAAATTTCGCTTGATGCCAATTTTATTTAAAAAATAAATAAATGAATAAATGCGTAAAATTACCACAAGATGTTTAGCAGTTTGCAACCAACTGTTCAATCTGCGCAATGGGTAAATGAGTATGATAGCAAATCCAGAATCACATGAAAGATAAAACAGCAAATTTATAAAGCTGGATGTTACTCCTCGTAGGTTTTATATTTGAATCCTCTAATGACAGCTTGGTTTGATACAGTGTCAAAAGCAACAATACTTTACAGCTTTACTAAATACTCTCAGGATGAGCCTGCTTACAGCACCGTTTGCAACTTAAATGTTTTCTAAACGACTCCCGCCGTTTGAGTGCACTCATCAGATGTGCAGTCCCTGAGTAGAATGGTGAATACGGTAAGTGGGTAAGCGGGTTGACGGAGCGATGGCGCAGACTCGCTACGTCATCCTGACGTCAGTTTCCTGAGCCAATGAAAAAACGCTTAAAAATAAAACTGCGATAAATACAATATTAACCATTAATTAAGGAGACCACGGGGTAGAAATAATTAAAAAAAATATTTGTTTTTCAATGAACAGGAAATGTTTTCCTTTAAATACCGCGGTAGGACGCATTCTTTCTCTTGATGAGTAGGACTCGCCGAAAATGGACTCCTTACTGGTCATTATGATACAGAAAAATAATGAAAATAGTCACTCAGCAGTATTTTGATTTTTCATTATCTTTAAGCATAAATATTACAGCAGCTTTATTTCGTTTTTTTTAATTAAAAAAGGTAGGTCAGCTTTTTTTGTTGATTAGATAGGGATTTAACACAACATCGGTTTAACTTGTAAAATATGACATTCTAGCCTTTTTTAAACTGCTAGTCTTGATACGAGTGCGTATGAGCAGTGGGATTTTAAACTGCTAGTCTTGATACGAGTGCGTATGAGTAGTGGGATTTCAAGGAAAAGTCGACTGTTTTCAGAGGAGAGCGCAGTTCAAACCGTGTATCTTAACTTCTCTCTCAGGCCGGACACCAAACATCGATTTCTGCCTCAGGTTTTAGTGCTCACCTGCACTTAAAGCGTCTCATCGACTTCATATCTTAATGAAATATTGCCGGAAGTACACGAAGTCTGGGCTTATAATAATGGAGTGGCAACTTAATTACAAACCTACTGATTTCTGTTTAATTAGTCAAGATGAACTGAATTAATGCAAAAACATGTGTGAACAGTCTGAACAGTGATGTGTAGTGGGACGTTAAATTAGCGTTCTGCACGCTAGCGAGCACGAGGCAGCACAAACACATAGTCTTATGATAATATGTGTCAATAGTTGGTCTGAAATAATGCCACAATTTTAGACAGTTTCAAAGCATCTTGCGGTTAACCCTGCAGTGGTAGACGAAATATGTAACATCCACATCTAGGGCACTGACATTAACAAGACCCGACTTAAGTTTATTTTGTTCTAGCCAATATACTAGTACAACTTAAGTTTATTTTGTTGTAACCAATATACTAGTACAACTTAAGTTTATTTTGTTGTAACCAATATACTAGTACAACTTAAGTTTATTTTGTTGTAATCAATATACTAGTTAGTTACAGAATCCAATATCTCCTTCTTAGTTTTCTTTCCGATATTATGCTTGTCAAAGGTAACATCCAGCTGTAGAGTTGTCACTTTGCCTGGCGTCTGTCTTCCAGAAAAAAAAACTCGCGGCTACAGACGTCATACGCTATATAAAACTATCTGCAGATTTCGCCTATCTCTCTTTTATCCTAATCCTACTAGCAGACCTATTAGACGCTGTAATCTCGTCATACGCGGAGTTAACCTCCACGATGCTTACTTATAGCTCTTTCTTGACGCAAAGTCTTTCTACTCGAAATTATTTATTGCTACTTCAGAGGAGGACGCCCGGAAAACACAGGTCACCCGCGTCCCATTCAGCTTACCTGCCTATCTCGGGTGTAAGAACGGGCAAATATTTACCCGGGGTTGACACAATAGGTAGATTGCAGCGGAAAGCTCTGATAAATCGAGAGGCTATTTTAAGGGAATTACATTTGATACACGACCGATGATGTCATACGTGCAACATTTCACGTGTCACGTTATCTTAGTGCACCAACATATGTTTCCGATTTTGTAGCAAATGAGGTTCACGATATGAAATATTAAAAATGGTACCAAAAGAGCTGATGGCATCAATATAATGTGTTAACTTACTGATCACCGTAACTGGAAGGTTCTAATAGCTAGCAACGTGAATATTTTGAGAAAACACTAGAAAACCTGTCTGTCGGTTGACATATGGAAATATCTAGAGACTCTCTGATAACATGAGAGCTCATTCGTCATATTAATTTAAATCAGTGAGAATGAATTCCCTGTCATAAAACATAAAACCCAAGAGTTTTGCGTTATGATCGATCTTGATTCTGTGTGATATAGATTTATTATACTAGCTGGGCAGTCTGGAAATTTGGTGAGAAATGCGACCGGTTGTGACGTGTCTCCGCAAACGCAATCCTGCACTGTACATCAGCAACATTCCCCTGATTTACTCCCAATCTGCTCTACTCTTTTTTCAGGTCCCACTACGGCGTTATACAGTCTTATTGTTATAACCATCTGATATGATATTATTTATGATTAGCAACTCAAGGAATACACCGTGCTAAATGATTACTAATTTTTAAAAAATTGAATTAAAAAAATATCATTGACTATAAATTCACCATAATCATTTTCCATAGTGTGATGTTTTCTCCACATCATGAGAGTTTTATTACTGCTGCATAGTTTGAATCCACAGCTGTTTTAGTATTTTACTGGTGACATTCGACACCCTCGTTATATACTTTTATGATGTACTTTGAGAAATCCATCCATCTTCAGCCCTGTTCTGTTCCACCTGTCCCTGGCCCATATACTGAGTCTGAGTACACGGGATGAAATCAATAAAGCAGTGGAACTCACCACAAATCTGTGCGTGTGTGTCAAATATGAAACCAGTCTTCATTTTTCATTTCGATTTCAAGATATGGCTGTTCTTATGATAGATGATTATACTTGGTCTGTTGTGACGGCACTGGCGTCATATCTCCGTATATTATTATCTTCGAATCTGTTTGCTCTCTCTCTCTCTCTCTCTCTCTCTCTCTCTCTCTCTCTCTGATTCAGACTCTTTAGTCATAAAATAAAAGTAAGTTTAAGATGTGCTCTGTTCCGTTTATGTTTATAGCACAGACATCACCCAGTCTTTAAAACCGGCAATCTGGACTGATCCCGCAGATACACAAAATGATGATGATAAATATCCTAAAAGTAACAACCGTTTTGGATCAGTCTTTTTTATCACTGTAATTCGTGGGAATGAAGCTGATTTGTTATCTCCTTGGGGGCTGTGGTAGCTTGATGTTTACATCACTGCTTTCGTCCTGTGTGTTAAGCTTAAGGATGATTCAAGTAATTTATTTGAATTCAATTAGGTTAATGCTGATCCAGGCGTTTAAATTACTACGTAAATTACCTTTATTGCCTTCATCTAAAGAAAATCGCGGCGGATGTGCACTGACAAGGTGTTTAGAAACAAACATGCGTTAGTCCAAAAGTGATCTTATTTCCTCTCAACAAGACAGATTGACAACTGAACTTGAGGGAAATTCATTGAACAGGGTTTGGGGTGTTTTGATACAGAAATGTGCACGTTTCACCCTGCTACTGATGAACGCTGTCGGCTAGTTAAGAAAACGGGGAATGTGATATTGTTCGAGCGTCCCGGCCCCGTTCAATCGTCAAGTATGCAGCACACCATACCTCCATCATGATACAGCGCAGGCAAACAACATAGCTGGACCGAAGAGAAAACATCTGCGAGCGGTTTCCGACTACTCGTTCCTCAGGCCGTGTTTTTCTACTTTCCCAGAGCTGGAGTTTCGCTACTTGGAATTTGGAGATCTCACCTGTGTACTACTTAGGAATGCCACGGGGAATCAGCTGGTTGCCATGACAACTCCACGGGAGGAAAGATAAAACTTGGCTTATTGTACTGGTTTAAATCTGAAGTAAGTGTAACCAGTTGTCGAACAGCCAGTTTGTTGTCTGTTGTTATTGTTGTTACTAGAAGTCACGTACTGTATTTTAGCTGGAATTCGCGTCTTCTGTCACTGTTTCCTGATATCCGTGTACAGAGAAATGAGAGACACACGAAACCGGCACTGGTATTTGGAATAGTGGAGTGTTCCAGGTAAAATCATTGATTGAATCAATAACGGATTGCAGTTTCGCCCAGGATTGTAAACGTGACATAATACAAGTAAAACGTCTCCAAGCAGAAAGGAATTGTATATACCAGGCATCTAACGACACAAACGGACTCTTCTTCGGCGGACACATAGCCGTGAATTCCGACAAGACTGTCCGAACACTGGGTCCAATATGATGTTTGCGAGGATAAATGCACTGCTGACAAACAAAACAAGTGCTAACACAAGTTTCCTCTCATAAAGGTCAGGAGAAAGACTTTAGTTCTGCGAGTTCTTTTTCAAGATCGTAAAAGAGTTTTGTGGATCTCCTTCGCTCTCATTCTGTGGGATAAGTAGGCAACCAGCGTTCGGTGAAAGCCATGGGTACTTTAAGGGATCTTCAACTGGCGTTGTCTGAGAAAATTGAGGAGTTAAGACAACGCGATGAACTGATAGACGAGTTAGAGCAGGAACTGGATGAAAAAGACGCGCTGATAAAGCATCTTCAAAATGAATTAGCCAAGTACAGGGCCGTCCTAAAACCTATCACGGAAAAACACCAGGCACAGATGAGGGCTAACATGAAAGACAGGCTGAAAAGAACAGCTATATCTGCTGAACCTGCTGGGTTCGTAACCAGTGAAAGAGATCTCTCCACTCGACAAGTCCCTAAAACTCAGGCGTAAGTACACCCTGCCTGGTTTCTTGGGGTGTGGGTGGATGGGTGGGGGTGGGGGTGTGAAAGAGGAACTATAGGAATGCTGGGTTTACTACTCGTGTGCCAGACCTTAAACCCAACTACATCACTGCTTTTAAGTGCATGGCAACACCAGTATACTGTGATACCCCTCCCCCCCCCCCCGCCAAAAAAAAAAAAAAAAAAAAAAAAAAAAAGAAGCTAGGCCTATTTTGTATCAGTTTTATTGTTGACCCGTGTGGAATAACTCGGTAAAGTTAACAAAGTCATTCTCCGTGAAGAAGTTTCAGCACGAAGAGGGGCTGGACCAGAACATTAGTATTTCAAGGAAAGCAGAGTTTGCTCGTGTATTCCTTTTCTTAAAGATTATTATCTCGGTACGAAAAATGAATGTAGGTCCAACATGTGTGTTTTTTCCGTTAAGCGTACTTTATTGCATTCGTATTATATTAGGTATCAGAAACCTCTTCACTACATACCAGCACACGGTATAGCGTCATTAGCCAATTGTTCTCCCCGGAAAGCACGAGAGATGGTTGTTTTATTATTACAAAGGGGGTGTATAATGTATGGGAACCCCTGGTGCCAGGGTGCCTTATTTTATTATAAAGCTACTCACGGCCCACCTGCCTCTTGCGTTATGGTTTTGGTTGCTCTTCTTACCTGCGTTGTAAAGTATTTAGGTTTAACTCACAGCAATCCAATACCGTTCATGAATAACTTATGTCTTAGGTATTAAATATTAAGGATTGTTTGACCTATATAGAGGTTCAATTGGCTGGCTTATGACCCAGTACCACAAAATAAAATTGTTAACAAATATCCCAATATTGGGAGAAATAGAATTGTTTCAAACCTTGTATTCGGCCGTATTTGTCTTTAGATTCTTAATTCTAACAGGGCTTTTAGACATGGAAATAATACGTAAAGTATATTGCGTCTATGTATTTATTGATTCAACTGTCGTGTGCTCCATCATGTAACACACAACTGCAGATTTTTCTACATATTCCGTTTTCTTTCTGGCATGAAAAATCTTTTCTATGCCTTGGGCACATTTTCCCATTAACAGAAAGTTTTTTACTTTCTAGGTGGCTTGAAGACGCGTTTGAAAGCATTTAGTTGAATTAAATCATTCGTGACACCTGACCTTCACGTACACTTCAGAATTTCTACATAACTTCGAAAAAGAAGACCGTAAACACGTTTGAAAGAAGACATCCACTTATTTTTGTATGTCGTATTTCCACAATTGTGCGTAGCAGTATAAATTTATCTATAGTCTGCATACTGTTATCTGTAAAAAGCATAAGCTTTGTCGATAGGCAAGTCTTGATTTAAGGCCCTTTCCAAGTCGACTTATTCGGCCCTGGCTCATCTTACCTTTCAATGCACCCCCTGTTCCCGGACAAAGCCCCCGCTGTCACCTGACAAAATGTCTACCTTTCCGGACAAAATACAGAATACAAAATACAAAATACAGAAAGCCGACACGCTTGGCATCGTATTTTTTAGGTAAAAGTGAAGGGAGCAAAAAATCAAAATAAATTAATGTTTCCATCATCGGAAGCTTAACTCGCCTTGAGGCTACTTTTGTGTAGGTAGCGATAACAGCTCAACTTGCTATGTGGGTGCATGTATATGGAGAATATTACATTTTAATAAGTATGGTGTGTATATGGGGATGGTTGGGGGGGGGGGGCATTACTTTTGTGGAAAGCGTGGTATGATTTAAAAAGTTATTTCTGTATTATCAGATGGGTTGAATTGTTGTTCTGAAAATCTGGGACCAACCTGAACAAGAATGCAGCAAACAATCCAGTTGTTCAATTCACGATGACTTTGTATCATTTTATGCGTCCATTTGTTAAGTCACCTTTTTTGGTTGAGTTCTTGGTTTAAAGCTTTTGTAGCCCAACATGCGATCAAGATCCACGATCAAGCTTTCTCTTAAATATGATGTTTGCCAGAAAAAAACAAACCAAACAAAGACACTAAGACCAAAACCGTAACCGCAATATTCTGGGAAATGAGACCATGATATTTCAGATAACAACATTACCCTTAACCCCCAAAACATTTAGAGAGACCCCGAGTAGAGGAAGATGTTTTAATGTTCACGCACTCATCTAATGCGATACAGAAGTTTGCTAAGGTAAAGCAAAGAAAGTTAATACACAAGTATTTGTCCTATGAAATGAAAATAATATGAGCCACAAGTTTTGGGCAGTGGGCTTTTTTTTTAGCTGAATGATTAATTAAACCCCTACAAAGGGTACCTTTGCCATCTTGTTAATAAGGTTTATATAGCATACAACATACATACCCCCCACTGCGATAAAAATCTGCAGCTGGTCGAATTCCCAGCAAACACCATGTAATCTATGGAATCACTCAACTTTTATTACTCCACGTAGGAAAGGTTCAGCGATCCTTTGACTAGCATTTAGTCTGCAGTTCCAGCAATTAATATAATAAGAGAAGTTGTTATGAATTTGATCCCGATAATCCTTACATTCCGATACTTCTAGTCGTGCGTGATGCAATAGTCATTTCTCGGCATAGGAGCAGTCGATGCTAACGCTACCTATTGTTATATATCCTGCCAACACTTTCAACACTATTGGGTGTGTGTGTGTATCTGCGTTCATAATTCGTTCTATAAAATTGCGTGTACACGAGGAGCACGTTTAAAGTAATTAAGGTGCAGTGTTAAATTGTGTATGTAGTTAATAACTCGAGTATTTCTTAGAGGCATTTGCTACAATTTCTGAGCGTGGACCAGAGGAATATATTATTTTCTAGTGCAAATTACAAGAATCATTAGATAACATGTATACTGGCCATGTGCCCTGCAACATGTATTTTGGGGGACATCGTAAGCTTCCACGGGCTACTGCGAGAATATTTACATTACATACGGGCTGCTAAACGGAGCCGTTTCAATCGCAGTTGTCGCACACTGTGCGAATTTTTTTCTGATTGATGCGAAAACCCTCATCATCGCCACATCACGATCACCTGCAGTGTCAACTACCAGTATTGCTACCACCTACGGTCTAACGGTTGCTAAGAAGTCCGTGCAATTTCCTACGCGAATGGCCGCTGCCGCTGCAGTGATACCGCTCGAAAAGGGACATAACATAGCATAAATCGCTTGACGAATGACTTCATAAAATAAAGTCATAGACTGGGAGAAAACTGGCTTAGTTCTTCATGTTTTTGGAGGACTTTGAAAAATTAAAAACACATTATTTACCACCTCCGGATTTAGGATTTTTAGGTACAGGTTTTGAGCGTACTCTATAAGCTAAGTGCTGAAGTGTTTTCATTTTTTGGGGAAACGATAAGATTCTAGGAAAGCATAGGTACATGTAGTACATGTAGAATTACAAACAGACATAGATCATACTTCTGGATGTTTCATCTGTTCCACGTGTTCATGACAGCACGTGAGCGCGCGCAGTGTGAAACGTGTGCGCTTAGTCTAGACGTCTAGAAATAAACAAGCTAGTCCTTTTTTTTGCGAGTGTGAATGTTATAAATCACAATTGTCATAAAATAATCACTTTTGGGTCCATTCACTTCATATTCCTTTCCATTATTACATGGTTTGAACATTAAGACTGGATTTTTTTCCTATCGATGAGGTGAGTTTGCCAGTCAATAGGAACGGTTAAATTAAGGCATCCTCTCTTGACTTACTGTAATAAGAAAGCTAGGAGAGCGCCTTTAAGTACTGTTCAGAAAACAAGTCAGTCTCTGCAAAAAGGTCAAGGTCAAATAAGACTTATTACCGACAACAGAGGCCTTCGTATTGGCCCAGAAGGTATAATAATAATAATAATAATAATAATAATATATAAAACATACATTAAGTGTATATATAAAACATTAGGTACAGTATTAAAATGGGATTAGGTAAAAAGTGTACTTTTAAAATAAATATTGAAGGGAAATGAAAACTGCGGATAAAATATATCGTTCATCATTCCTTTAAAAGTTAAAAAGTCATGAACATAGTTCATTGGTACGTGTACAGTGTATAGGCAGTATGGTATATAAATGTTTCTATATAGTTTGGTTCGATATTTTGGTAAAAAGCAACTGTAACTATTCCTGAGGTTCTGTTCAATAACATGGGTATTGGGTAAAAGATGGTTCAATCCATGTATAGGTAATTTCATCTCATAAAACATTTTTGGCACTATTTATTGCGCCGAGATTTTAAGGTGGGCAGTTCAGTGACGTTAATTGCTTCATTTTGTGTAAGTTCAGGGTAAATAATGCGAAGATCTCTTTTTGATGTTCTCTAGAGATTTAGATTGTTGCGCGGTTTTTCCAGCATGCCATACATGTAGCTGGGAAGCATACTACAGTCTTGGAGGTTGGTTTTGTAAATTTTTAATAAGATCACTTCTTTGCACCCCATACACAAGAAATATATTGTTCCGCAAGACAAAGATTTATGCTTTTTACTGACGACTTACAAAAATTTGACACATTTAATGTGGTTAACGGTCTTCAATATTTATTATTTTAGACTTTCTTAACCAAAATCTATACTCATAAATTACACTCACAATTGTGGAAATAGTTTGACACGATTTTGAGGGACACCTTATAGACTATCTCTCTCTGAGGTAATGGCACGTGCCCAGCACCCTATGGAAGTGTGAAGATTTGATAATTGAGGCGATGAGCCGTGCAAAAGGTGGAGATCATCTTCAATCGATGCTTAACATCAGCTGATTATCCTAAAGGTTACAGGAACTGTTTATGGTGTTGGGTCGAGATTTCGTTCTGGCAGGGTTTAATTGAAAGATAAACATAGCGCTAATTACAACTTTGATGTTTTACCTGTGAGGGCATTGTGGGTTTTGCATTACTAAAGATAAAAAACGCGACATCAAATGAATTGGCGCCGGTGAATTTGGCAATTCTTGAATTTTGTCTTGTCATTTAAATCGTTATTG